AGATTGCTTGACCCCATTGGCTGAGATGGATTGGCTATTTATTTACTCCAGATCTTGAGCTTCGATATTCTTTCATACATAACTTTCCATGTTATCTTTACGAACAGTATTTCCAATGATCAACCTTTCTCAACATTTTTGTTGCTACGTCGTTCTGATATTTTTTTGACGTCATCCTTTTAAATTTACCCTGTCACTCTATATTGATGTAGCAACTTGCCCAAATGAACACCTGCACTACGCAGTATTTTTACATTGACTGACTTAATAACTAATTATTCACACTTTTTTTCACAATGACTTCTTAGGCCTTTTACTAATCGTAGTTTGCAGTGTTATATTTTACCGTTGTTTTAACCTAAGATTTAACTAGATGATAGTCTGTTGGAATATTCGTCCAATAAGTGTGCTTCCAACTATCGATTTTTTTATAAAGTGATTAAATGTTGGGTATTGGCTAGGAGTGTAATACAAAAAAGCCTGTTTATTTTTTATTTAAGACTCCTAAAACGAATGCATATGAATACTGACGTTGATGATTACATGAAGACTCAAACAAATCATCTGAATGATTGTGTGATACCCCATTAAGTCACCACCGCTCTTTGGTGTTTGAAGTTAGACATACCGAGTAAGAGTTTTTATGTGAACATCAACACTGAAATGTAGGTAAATTCAATACATAAGTTCTAACTATGAAAAATGACTATAATAGGTTGCAATGTCAGCAACTACTTAAATAAATAATAATTTTGTAATAATCTAACTGGACAAACACTGACCTTTCGAAGTAAAATTACTTAGTGTAATTCGCTTCTTCAGAGAATAAATAACGTGCCTATATTGGTAATGGTTAAGATATTATACGAAAGAAATCAAATCTAAAACCAAGTACATACAAACCAGTTTGTTCATGGTAATGTTATATAATCACGATCAATGACAAAAGAAGGCGAAATGAAAACCTTCATTACACAACAATTTAATCCAGTATCTTAACTTTGGTTCAGTTACTTCGTCTTGTTTACTCTGTTACAGGTTGATAGAACAGTATTATGGTGGTTAATTTTATTCATAAAGTACTGAATTTAGTGGAAAGATTTATATATATACTTCCATCATTAAGATCATCAGTCAGTTGAAGCTAGACACCACCATGGAAAATCTGGAAGCACTGGACGGCCGTTTCGTCCTATTGTGGGACTCCTCAGCAGTGCGCATCCACGACCTCGCCCCCTGTGAGATTCGAACCCAGTACCTACTGGTTAGAATTATGTGAAAGATTTTATGTGTATGATGACTGACTGACCAAAAACCATGTATGTTTATCTTAGTCGAAATATATTACATTGCTTGATAATTGGCTGTTTTACCTCATTTAAATGCTTCATATCATAGATCATATAAATTCTCATATTGTACAAGAAAACAGTATTTTGTAACTCAGAACTAGATAGAATTAAAAAAGCAAATGAAATTACCAACGCTTAGAACTAACAACGTAGTAATAACTAAACAACATATCCATTTATTTTTTAATGACGAATAATAAAACACAAGAAATAGTGTATATTATGATATCTTGTATATTAAAATCATGATATGACAAGAAAAATACTATTTCAAAAATTTGTCAGCTGAACATCATTATTGATGGTGTGGTGTGTACTACTTATGTCGAAATATGTAGTATATAACGTCAATCAAGAATGGAATGACTGACAACAGAATGCTAAGAAGATTAAAGACTTAAGAACGGGAACAGAAATTAATTATTATAGAAATACAAGAACAATGAATTCTGAAATAATTAATGAACATTTTTGCAAATGAAGTATTAGAATATGATTTTTTCTATTTTACCAAATAACTGTAATTTTATGTCCAATATAATCGATTGTCCTCATCTTTATTCTCGTTCATTACAGTAATACAATTCACCAATATAAGAGCGTTCTCTTTTTTAAAAAAAAATCAAGTAAACACTATTAATAATTCGACTTTATAATAAAAATGGAATATTAGTTTAGTGGTTGTGGAAGTTTGCAGGTTTTCAATGGTGGTCTAACATCAATCGGTTCATGATCTCAATCAAAAAAATGGAATAAACTGAATTCTAAAAAAAATTTTTTCAGTATTCATTTTATACACAAAAGACCTTCAAACTAATACCCTAATAATAATAATAGCTAATTAAAAATTCCTGATATTTATTATTTTTCTAATTACAACCTAAAAGTTGAAATCACCCTATATCTAGTTAACATTATATTTAATGACCTTTAGATAATATAAGATAGAGAATCTTAATTATTTTGCATACCACTAAACAAAAATGTTCAAGGTGAACATGAAGATTATATATGTTCATTTGGATGTGATCAGTCCATAGGTGTACTCATATTTTACTCTAAATAAGCATTAGAATTAAAGTATAATTTGTAGATGGTTATATCTGTGAAAATTTTTCAAATTTTAATGGAATCTGTTTATGTAACTAATATATTCAAATCAAAAGTAGTCTTTGTTTTTGTCTTTTTGTTTAAAACTCCTATATAAACATAGTTTTTCTGTGCTTTTGTAATTAAAGATAATCAATCAATGGTTAAAATACCATAAACTAATAGAAATAACAATATGTAGAATTATAATTAAATACATTTTGAAACTAGGTGAAACCACTCTGAAGAAGAACCCTTTATTAATAATTGAAATCATGAGTCAATTGAAGCTAGACCACTATGAAAAACTTGGAAACAATGAACGGCCGTTTTGTCCTAACATGAACCCTTATATTATGATTACGTTTTGACGTAAAAATTGCATTAAATAGGAATCTATATTGAATTGTAGGTTTCATAAATACTTTTTTGTACACAAATACATAACTAAACATTTCAAACATTTCATTAGATAAAAGTAATGTAACTCACCGTTATAGCGTTTCTGTTTAGACTAACCAGTTTTTATCAAGAGCTTACACCACGTAGGAATCTGGTGCCTCACAATATTAAAAGTTATTTCTTATTAGTTTAGAACTCACCTTAATTGCCTATCAACTACCTTAAACAGGATAAAAATCCAAGGAAATTTAAGTATTATTTTATAAAACAAAGTTGTAGGAAAAGGAAGATTTTATCCAATACTTAATATGTTCAACATTATTACCATAGTCACTACCAGATTTGTTCCCTGATCGGCTACTTCATTAATGAATTGGTTATTACTAAATACCATAGTTTTCATCTCGATGAAGATCTTTTGAGATTATCCCAATATTATATTTTGGGATTTAATGAGTTAATTAATTGAAAAGTACTTTTTGATTTTTATTTAATTTCTCGTTAATGTTACTTCAAATCTCAAGTTTTCTTCAAACTAATTGTGAATTATTTAGACGCAGATATAGCAAAACATCAGTTATTGACAAAAAAGTGTTTTGTATATGGACAAAGGTTACAGACTCGAAAAAGAATACGTATAAGAACAACTGCCTTATAATACGAGTCCGAGATCATCTGTGGTCAGGCAATAATGACATTACCTGATTTGGACAGAATATCTATTCCCATCATATATATATATATATATATATATATATATATATATCGAACTTATTTATTACCAATACAATGTTCGAATCGCAATTATCTTTAACAACTGATGAAAAAACGATACACTTTACTTAGTTCTTTAGGAATAAAGAAGTATATGTATTAAATATGTTTACTTCATCTATATTCATAAAAGGTTTACTTTCGTTAAACTGTTGGTCCTAAACTTTGTATACTGTCTCAGCATATGTATTATTACAAAGCATTTACTACTTAGTTTTATTAAACATTAAATTAGGCTATGATGCAGAATGCAGTAGACGTATGCTGCGTCCTAGTATTTGATTACACAGTAGCATTACCCCACGACCCACCAGGGATCGGGCCCATGACACTCATGTCTTAAGAAAACCTCAGAAAATACTCAAACTGATAAACTGTTTTGAAGTGGTCTGCATTATTAAATTTACTCAGGTCAAAACTATTGAGAATGAGATTTCATTTAGAAGTAGGTATTGTGCATGAAGATATATAAAGAAATTTCATTGATATATTTCTTATTTAAAATCATTTTAGTTTGTTGTTTTAGACTGTTGTTTTAAAAACTGGACAGTACTACATTAGTACGGAGTTTGTTTGTATCACATCAGTTCGCAAGTTATTATTGAAAGTAAAGGAAAAATTTAAAGCAAATCAAGTTTTTTAAATAGTAGGAAAGAATCCTAGCAGTAGAAATTACTTTACAACTACAGTTTATGTGCTCGGTTTTCAGCTACGACGTTTATGTGAGGTTTACTTCTACCACGTGTTAGCTTTAACAGATATAAACAAATTTTGATTAGAAGGTGTGTTCTAATGGTTTAAAGAGCCTAAGCTAACATTAAATAAAGGGTATAGTTTCTGAAAATGTTATATTATTAAAAATTCTATATCACTGACTAATTCAGAATAGCACAATAATTCATCGTATTATTAAATCCAAATTTATAAGTGAATTGTCCTTATTTTGTTTTACCTCAGTTAGCAGATTCTTTCAGAGTAGTTTAGAAATCAATAACCGAGATAAATCAGGACATTCATTTTACAACACACAGTATACTGAATACATTTACCTTATTTATGTTTCTTTCATTTGAGATGCGAGAAATAAGATTTAGCTTGATATTTTTTAGAAAAGTTTCTTTATAATTCACTTCTTTATTAATTTCATCAATATTAAACCGGTTTATTCAAGATGACCATTACTTTTAATGATCCTTATATTATACTTGGTATAATTTCTTAGAATTATAAATTGAAAATATATTCAACACAATATTTAATCTTTAATCATTACATCTCATAATTTCATTTAGCATTTAAACTTATTCAAGTCAGTACTTCAGATTATTCATCCTAATATTGATGTTTTCACATTAGAATTAATTCTAAATTCATATGCTATAATTTTAAACGATGTATTTTGTCTTAAATCTGGGCCCTGAATGGTTTATTTAATTTAGATACATAATTATAGAACCTGAACTGAAAAAATTATCTTGAAAAAAATATTCTTCATTCATATCTGTGTTTTAATATTTTGAAACATATAATCACATATACTCACAGATAAATACACATAATTCATTTTGATAGTTTTATTCTCTAAACTGGATGGTTTGGTCGTGTTATAATAATAATTATAATTATTATTGATCATAAGAAATCAATAAAATTCATTATGGAAAGTACAATTTTTTTAATGTGAATTTTCTATAAAATATTCACACGCACTCATACACATATATACATACAAACACACAACTTCGTCATCTAATAATTTTGTAAAAAATAAAGAAAAGAAGAAAAAGAAAACACGGAAAACCTTAAATCAATATATTTTATTGAAGTGTTTATTTAATTAACGAATCAGATCATCAATGCAGTAAGAAAAAATAAAATAAAATAAAATATAATTGAAAATAAAATAATTCATTTGTAAATTTTAACTTATATTACTATCAAATTATTTAACTTTTATCTATATATATATATATACTACTGATTTTTTCATTAATACAAATAATCAAAAAAACAAACAAAAACAAGACATTTTTACCCATAATGACAATTGAACGAAACACAAATCAATTAACAATAAATCAATCCACAAATTATACTGAATCAATTTATTATTTATGTTATGGTTATTTAATACATCATTTAAAAATTAAAAATAAATTACAATTGTTTGATAGAAATATAGCAGAAAATGAAATTGAAAATATTAAACCAATTTGTTCTATTCAATTATATTTATTATTTTGTAAAGATTGTTTACGTATAAAACGTTATATAACTAATACAAATCGTTATAAGCGTTATACATTATATTATAAACAAATTGAAGTATATTATTTTACACCATATATGAAACATTTATTAATATTAGGTATTATTTCACCAAATGGTATAAAACGTTGTTATCAATATATTTATATTAAAAATAATGAGGATCACTATAAAATACAAATAATATTAAATCAAATATTTGAAAATTCATTAAAAATATTAACAAATTTACCTGTAATTGGTCAATTAATCATTAAAAATTTTAAAAATGAATCAAAACGTAATAAAAGATTAGGTAGAATAACTTTGGATCATTTACATAAATCTAATAACAATATAATGAATGAATTAAAAGAACATGAAGATATGAATCCAGTAATGAATGAATATATTGATGGAAACAATTAAATCTTAATTGAAATCATAAATGGTTATTGATTTTTCTTCTTGAATGAAAGGAATGATACCTTTTTGTAGAACTTTATTGAATATATATATATATATATATATATATATATATATATATATAACATGATAATAATTTTGTAAACATATTTGTGTATTTTATATTTAAATAAATAATTTTTTTATTTTTAAAACTTATAATTACTTGTTTTGTGTTCGAAATTGTAAACAATTATTATTATATGACTATGCATATATATGCAAGTAAGTAATTCTATTAATATGTGAATAAATAATTACAATGCCATTAGATTGATATTATATCATCTAGTATAACTCATTATGATTTAAATATTGATTATTCAATATTCTGATGTTTTTATATAAATTATATTTATTAAAAGTATTTTGATTTTATACTTAGACTATTAGGCCGATATTCAATGGTGTTAGTGTTAAACGTCAAACAATCCATGAAATTATACCATTGTCCACTATTATCTTCAATGAGTTACCATCTCATAACAGACCTCGTTGAATTCTACTGGTCATGGCTTCTCAATAGAACTAAAGGAAATACTTCTTAAAGCTAGTTACTAGTGATTTTATATTCAAAAGTTGATTGATCACGATGCATCTAACTCATTACATCTCATAGTTTTCAGTCAGTGAAGCAGATTAGATTTCATTGTTTGATAAATAATGTATATACATCGATGATGAAACAGTTGTTGGTCATGTAATGCAGACTTATGTAAAGTGTTGTGATCGGTAAATTTTCGAAACATAACTTTAGTTTAATAACTATTAAACCTTCTATTCTACATTGGTTTTGTATTGTCTATTCAAAATAAAGATGATCATAAATAGTTTTGTAAATTCGAAATTCCCTACTTTATATATCAATTGTACATTAGTTAAAGAATTTATTTCACTGCAAACATTTTAATATAACTGATAGAACATTGTGAACACTATGTAAATTACCCATTTTTCAATACAGAGTAATGATGCATCACTGAAACTTAGGTCTTACAAATTACTTTTGATAGTTCTAAGAAGTGATAAATTTAATAAGTGAATTTTTCTAATAAAATAAAGAAATAAACTATTGTAATATGTTGTTCATTAGAACTTGTTCGAAAACACTAGATATAATTATTTTTTAAGACTCTGTAGTGGATTAAAGTTGTTTTGAAAAACGGTAGGTAAATTAAAGACTCATGACATTTCAATCTATGGAAAAATATGCAAAATGAAAATTTTGATGTTGGATTCACTATTCAATAGAGCTTTTGATTGTTTCACTAACTAGATACCTCAATCGGGAAAATATCAAACATATCAAACTACCGTTCTTGGAAAACTTCCTTGTTCTGATGATGTAGCTTATATTGAGGTGCACTTTCCAAACATATATGGAAGAACTATCCTGCTTCGGTATATTAAGGGTTGATGCAGGTCATTCAGCAACTCAGTCATTGAACATAAGGGTAATTTCAATCGTGAATCGTCACAAATTTGAAAAGGGTTCAAATAAGTAGTTTTTGCATGGATAGGACTAAGGTAATTGACCAACTAATGCATGATATCAATGTTCAGAAGAGACATGTTCGTTACCTTATTTTACTGTAGTCTTAGCACCTGTTCTAATTTCATAGGTTGTTATTACAACTTGTTCACCTGTTCTCCATCTTTTACATAGTCGTCAAATGGACAGATATCTTTCCCATTCCATTTATGAATTTTTATTCACTGTCATTCTTAGCACTATTACTTAATTTGTAATTGACAGTTCAAATTGCCTGGTTGTTTTTCACAACTCTACCAAATAGAAGGAGTGATTACTTCCTATTTCATTATAGAAAACTCTGTATAAAATCTTCCTTTAAATGTGATTGTACAGTTCAAGTAAAGGATAACTTAGAAAAGAAAAATATTTAACCACTCAGTCGCCTTCATTTTTATAGCTTACGTCATAGGATTATCATAGTTAGATAACCACTGAGAAGAAATAATTGGAAAGTTGTTTTTTCCTAATACTTGACTCCTTGACAGTGAGCACCCACGACCCCTATGGAGATCCGAACAATTTGGTATAATGAGAAACACTATATTCTTCTTAGTGGCTAATTTTGAAACATAATTCTCGGAGTTCTAGCCAGATTTTCGACCGTTGAGTTTAACTGTGTCAGGAGTGAAATTTACCACTCACAGCTATTGATGACGATCACAAATATCGCCAATCGGTTGAAGTTAGATTAGAAACTATTCCAGCGATCTAAAGGGTAAGTATCTAATATGAGACCTAACTGTTCTCGGTTCGATCATCACTTTAGTCGTGAGTGCACACAGCTGAAGAGTTCAATAATAGGAAAATAAATTGTCTTATTCCTCTTGGTCTTTAGTGGCTGTCCGACTAAGATCAGTCCAGCATACGCACCATGATTAAAGTGGGTTTCATTTACTGAGTTCACCATTTTATTTCAAATCTATTCTGTTGTTGTTTGACTTGGACAATTTATGATCTGAAAATTTCTCAGTCTTCTGATTTCCTTCCAAACAGTATCATAGTTGTTACAAGGAATTAATATGCCTTTTTCTTTCCTTCATTATCAATCTCAAATCAACTCGTTTATAAAAGACTATATGCTTATAAATTAGAATATACCTATTAAAAATATTTAACTAGATCATATTCGTCATCATATATTATTGTAATCAGAGAGGGGTTTTGTGGATATTATAGTAATTTAATATTTTAATTCATGAGTCAACTGAAGCAAAACCATTATGGAAAACCTGGAATCATTGGACGGCCGTTTTGTTACTACCTGATATATTTTATAAGTCATAATATTGATAATCTTTATCTGTCTTTTATTTTGTGACGTAATAGATTTGTAATTTATTAAAGTCACGTAAAAATCTAGACTATTTACCTAGTTTGTTCATGAACTCATATTTACCTGTAATTGTAGTATTGAGAACTGAGAGATTTTATGTGAATTAGCTACTACATAATGAGTAACTTGTTTGTTGAATATGTAAAAGTAACAACCATTAGTGGTTATCATAAATTAATAATTTACGAAATATCTCATTTATTATTTAATCTAATACCTATTACTTTCTGAAACGAAATAAACATGATTTCTATGATTTTACCTGATATCCGAATGTGTACTGTTATCTCTATCAAATATTGTGAGATGTTGAGAGAGAACATTTGTATCCTGTAGTATGTTGACAATGTAGAAAAGAATACCTTAACACATTATTTATTGTTCTTAATATTAGTAAATTTCTGAAAAATTTCAAAATAAGCTGCTCAGAACACTAATAGAAAACGTTTTCTTAGAAGGTTAGGACATTAACAAATTTACGTTGTTAATAGGATATATTAGTGAATATTTAAGCATGATTTCCTCCGGAAAGTTTAAGCTTATGAAGTTTACAAGTAGTAAACTACAAACAAATATATATTTTCAGTAATGAATTGGATTGACTGATTTCTTCTTCACAGATACTTCATTAAGGTATATTTGTATCGAAAATCAGTTTCACATCTCTATTAAGTAGAATTAAGAGTTTTGACACTCCTAACGTGCAGAATAAACTACCAACATATAATAACGGAGAAGGGTATTATGTAAACTCTGATTTACTTATCACTATTGAGAGCATTGACCGAATCTGACCTCCGACTTCAGAACGCAAGATGAATTACATCTAGAGCTTATGGACTATGAAGGTTCGATATATTTTAAGTTTATGTAAATCAATCAATGATTACGGTAGTAACTTATAAATCTTATCAGTATACATACTGAAATGTAATGCTGAATAAGAATAGGGAGCTTAAGGTAAAGTATAAACCGAAAATAACTTATTTCATATCTATAGTTTTCGGGTTTAATCTAGCATAGTATTTAAAGCTTTGGAAAACTAAACTTGCTAAAGATACTACATTCTGTTGCCCGTAGAAATCGATTCCAAAACATATGCCATTGATTATTAAAAGTAACTACCTTCTAAAATAGAATATAGAACTTTTCAAATACCTTTATTGTTATTCAACTTGACATTAAAAATATAAGACTAACTTTAAAAATGATTGTATACCTGACGTTCGTTGGTAATGTTTGCTTTGATGTTTTATGAGGTGTTTTGTCTCCGAATAGAGATGTTACTCATCATCAACTGAATACAATTTCGGTAATTATTCTTTTCGAGATATGACATATTTATGAAGGTGAAAACTTAGCATCTTATGTCCCATCTCAAAACGTCATTTCTAATGGGACAAGGTTGCTGAAAGCTAAAATCTCTGCTGAAGAACTTATAAGTACGATAGTTGACGTAGGCCCAGAAGATTAGATTATGGTTTACTAAGTTCACAACATGCAGTAATATTTTATAATATTTAATCTATGGTAATAATTTTAATAAACGAGTACCTTGAAACTTCTAAGTAAATTAATTATAAAATCCGGACACTGTCCAGATTTACAAGTTATATTTTAATAAAAATACACAGTTAAGTAACAAATTATTTAATTTTTCATCAAATTATAATGTTAGGTCGGTGTCTGTTTCTCAATACATTCATTGTCAACATCGACAAATCTTTCAGAATATAAATAAACAGGTCCAAGATGTGTGATAGTTGCACCAGACTTCGAGTCTGGACAAATAAAGGTAACCCCAGCTGGCCATTTAGATGGTGGATACAAATCTGTCACTTCATAGTTATCCTCAAGTGAATCACCCTCATAACCTGTTCTGTAATATAACTTTGCTGATTCATCATCCGCATGAAATATTGGCGTAAGTATAGGTTCTACAAAAGCGTCCGCTTTGTAAATTGCTGAAGCATAATACTTATTATTAATATCAACATCATTATCATCTTCATAGGTTACGTCATTAAGATCACCCCATATTCCATTATAATGTTGCACTGAATCACTACCTTCTGAATCACTTGATTCAATTTTACGATTCACATTTTCAATGGATCCTTTATCATTTCTCAAACTTGTTGAATTAATACTAGTTACTGAACCGTTTTGAGAATATTGTGGTGTAACTCTACGTATATCATTATCATTTTCTATTAATTCATTTTGATATATACGATTTTCTAATTGATTTTGTAATTCATTATCATTTTCATCAGATTGTATCCATACAATTGAACCAAGTGAAACATGACTCGGTTTTTTATTTTCATATAATGATGACATTGATAATGTACCAATTGGATTTAAATTAATTAATTTTCTTTCACTATTTTCACATGCTTGAACAAGTAATTTACACAATGTTTTAAAATCATTATCATCTTTAATTTTTGTACATTCATAGGCACGTATCTTTTTATTTTTACTGATAATTCCTAAAACAAGTATATTTTTGGTACCTTCTGATATATAAATAGTTTCAATTTGTTCATATTCTAAAAATAAACGTTTATAATAATTTGTTGGATTTTTATAAGCTTTTATTCTTAAACCAAATTCTGTAAGATAAATCATACGTTCTTGGGATTGAATTGTTCTTTTTTTATTAATTAATTTTTTCATATATTCTTTATTAAATTCTTCATTAGCTTTTAATGTACGTTGAAGAAATAATTTTCCAGGACATTTAAAATAAATAAATTCATGTGTATAATCATCTTTTCCACTTATTGATGGTACAGAATTACTTAATGTATTCTTTTTAATTGATCTACGTGACATTATAATTAGATAATATGAATGGTTATTATGATAATTGTATTATCTTTAAACGTAACAAATAAACAAATAAATATAATATAATTAAAATGTCAGTATTTATATATGTAAAATGTAATGACTAAGTATATTTACTATGGCTAATACAAGTAATTATAGAGTTGATTTGATTAGATAATACTGAATTCAATATATTAACCAGTAATGTAACCAATGATTATACTTCAAGAAGTTCAATAGAATATATGTAACATATATGTCGTAGAATTTAAGTAAAAATTATAAAAAAAACGTAGTTCAAATGTATTTTGTTTATAATTAGGTAAAAATTCTTTTACTTTTCAATGAATTAAAATAAATAAATATAAGGAACTTATTGTTAAAGTTACCGACATTGAAGTAAGTCCTATCACTTTTAGTTTTTGTTTGTTTTGTAAATTTTTATTTTTGATGAATTTTTTCTGTGTGTCAGTTCATCTAAAAGTCATTGCTGTACATATTTCTATGTATGTATGTATGTAAGTGTACATATTTGGCATGGTGTATATCAGTGCATATGAACAAAAATCGAACGTTAATTACGTATCGTAAAATAGGTGACTCATATAAATAGTAAATTGAATGAAGCCAAAAGTTTACACATCTCAATAACTCTGAACCAATTACTATGCACTATACAATCTAATAGAACAACATAAAATTTGGTCATCATGTTCAGATTTGACCTGTAATTGAATTGTTTAATTCATTCAGTACATTGTGGTTTCATAATTTCACTATTGTACATTTCAATATTCAAAAATCAATAGGTAACACGAAATATAATGAAAAAAAATTACGAGTCATAATGTAACAGACAATGTGGGTAATCAATAATTCATTTGCTCTATGTTTGAATTGAGTAAATAAATCTAACTATAATAATGTAAATTACTTAGACTGTTTGTTCATTCTTATGATGCTTAAATTTGAATAAAAAATTTTTTGGACATGTAACACATTCAGTAATTGACTAATGCATAACATTTTAAAATAGTCAGAATTTGTTTAGAGAAAAATATAGTTAGATTCATCTCATTATAATAAATAACGAAATGAAACTCAAGGTTAAATTAATAAGCTTTATATATTTGATATACTGACTACCTATCATGGAAAGGTATATTCAATGGTGATATTCTGTTTGTAGAACTATAGAGAAACTAAAACCTTAGATGATTTATCGGGCACTTAAACAGTTAGCTCACTTCAAAATATCATTTTCTGTAAGGTCTTCATCGCCTAAAGAACGAGTAAAGGTTTTGTAACTTTCTTTGAATACAAAGATTAGGGTCGTTGGTCAGAGTTTCCATAGCCTCAACTTTATGTTAGTGCTTCATTCGAACTAACGATAAGATAATAGAGAGGAATAAGATGTTTTAAATGTAGTGAATGCTTTAAATTTATGTGCCACTTATCTACTAATAATTCAAGCTGAGTACAGCATTTCCAAGGGTATGAGGAAGATGCTTACCAATGTACTCATAAAGTGAATTGCATCACAAAGCCTGATATTCATATTAGAAAACTCTGTTAACATAGCTATGATATTGTTGGCCAAGACCAAATAGACAACACCAACTATTCTTCCCACACATAGTTCATTTCACATTTTAAACTCTTTGTATATCTATATTAAAACTTGTATACAAACTAATTGCTCGAACGTTTAGTTATGTTAGTATCATGTAACTAATTCGATTATTATTTTACTATAGTTTATAAAAATGATTTGGTGTCTAGCTCAATGCTACAAGTAAACTTCATGTTAATTCATTTGTATTTCTTTTTTTAATCTTCCCATTGATGTTTAAGACTAGAGTTGTTCACTCAATGTTTCAACATACGTGCATTCTCTGCAAATTTCCTCTATCTTGCCACTAATCCACAAGAATTATGAATAGAGATAGATGGCGGCTAGCAGTGGAGCCTAGGAGGCGCGATTCGTCTTATTTGGTACTCGCCAACTGAACATGCTACCATCCATCCCTGATTATAATGCTTGGGATTTAGGGTAATACCGATGCAATTCAAACAGGATGTATATATGCCGAAAAAGAGACTGAACAACTACAGCCCTAAACAACAATGGCATATCAAAAAGAACCGTTCTGTGTTCCAACCTCATGATGAACAGTAACTTTGGGATGTAAGTATATCTAGCCAACGAGTCCCAAAATAGGACGAAACGCTTGTTCTGGTTTCTACTGATAAGCACCATGTATCTTTTCTTATAAAATTCATGTTTGTTGTTTTAAATGCTACATAATTCTGAAACTTAAAGTTAACACTTTGGTTTTTTCGTTACTCGGTTGTTTGATAATATGAAAATATTTTCAGAGAAACGTTCATCGATAACTTTGATTAAAACACGTGCATCCAACTTAACGATCAAAGTTATATACTAGTGATTTAGTTCAAATACTAACAAAGATACTTTGTTTATGGGCAATAATAACTATAAGGATAAAATTTGTAAAAATAAAATTTGACTTAAAATCATTGAAAATAGTGATTGGATCGTATGAAAAATTTGAACGTAAATAAATACAATTTACTGGGTGAAATATAAATCTTATTTAACTGGCTTCAAGAGGTATTTCCTGGAGTTCCAGTGAGAAGTATTGAACAGTGGGATTCAACCGCGACTGTTGTGAGTTAGTAGCTCATCAAAGACAATGATGGATACGTCGCTCAATTTCGTGGATTAGTTGAATTTAGACATTAACGGCTCAGTGGTTTAAAGGTTAAGCGCTCGCGCGAGAGTGATATGTCCTAGTTTCGAATCGGGATCGTGAGTCGGGGTCGTGGATGCGCATTGCTAAAGAGTCCCACAATAGGGCGAGATGGCTGTCCAGTTTTCTATGATTGTCTAGCTTCAATTGACTCATGATCTCAACTAGTGAAATCCTTATTTGACTGTTTATTTTACTGTAACTTAACTGAGACTAGATATGACCGATTTATTATATATAACATCATGTATTTGAACTTTTGTATTAGTTTACTTAATTTACAAATATTTCTCCGCTAATCTGTATAAATCTATCTTGTTTATCGTAAATCTTGATACTTTTAAGAAGATATCGTTAGCAGTATTTTAAACATTTCTAATATTTTGTTCTATGGTCAAAAACAAAGAAAAAAGAAGAAAAGTTTACAAATTTTAATTTTACTACTGATTGCTCCATGTCTAACGACAGAAATGAATGAATTCTTTTGATGTTAAATTTCACGTTTCCTTTCTTGTTTTTTTACGATATCTCTATTAATCGTGGAACAGCTAAAGGCCGTAACGTCTAGTCTGTAAATCCCTCAATTCATCTGTTCAAATATGTTTTTAAAACTACAAAGAAATGTGTTTTTTTATTAGTCTTTTGTATTTCAATATGACTGTTAAATAAACAGAGAACAAGTTGCTAGCTAGAATACATTAGATAATGTTTATAAATCAGGATACAATTACTTATCTCTATGTGTCCTGTTTTCTTTATGTAAAACCCAATACAGTTTGCTCTTAGTTACTTAGCTATCAACTCAATTGTAAATTAATATTTTATTAAATGCAAAATTTTAGAAGAAATCATGAGAAATGTTTCTGTTACAACAATCAAAGTTAAGCTCATATGTTCACTCTTTAGTAAAGTGAATTTATGGGGATAAAGTATAAGTAAGTAGACCGCCATTAGAATTGCGCGAGAAGTGGACCAAAATCAACTTATAATTATTTCATTTTTACTGACTGTCAAAGAATAAGAAGTTTGTTTATCGTCAAATCGATTTTGTTCAATTTCATCAATATTAATAGTCCATTTATAATTAAAATATATTTAACAGTTTACTCAATACTTAATCGTATTTCATTCTTGATTATTGAAAGATTAAGGATATCAAATATTCAGAAGAAGGAAAGTTAATCATCTTATAATATCGCTGACATTCAACACATAGGTTAATAGATTTGAGTGGCATATATGTCTCTAGTACTGTAATTATGTTTTTAGTAAACTTTACAAAAATTCAAATTTTGTTAAGTCTAAGAGAATTCTTATCCATCTTGTTATTAAACGATTTCCTTTTAATTTTATATGCTTGAAGGAAAGTGTAAATGTTGTGTGTGCTACTTATGTAGACATAAGTTGTATATTACGCGAGTTAGGAACGTAATGTCTGGCAGCAGAAGATGGGGGAAGATCAAGAAAGGAAGAGCGGAAACACAATGCAATTTGTACGAAAACGTATGAACAATGAAATCTGAGACAATGGATTGATGTTTGCAACAGGAACAGTCAAGTTTCATATGATGGATTGGTATTTTGCAAATTAACGATTTAATATATGGTTTTCAGATTTTATTGAGATGCTCTGTAATTTGTTGTTAAATACATCCGGTTGTCCTCACCAGTGTTCTGCTTCATTACATAACTAGGACTTCACAATGACAGTTACAAATGTGTTTTTATGTATAATATGACACAATGAGGACATTAACACTTCATACTAAAACGACAGTGAAACTGAACAAATTTCAAAGATAAATTATCTTTCAGTAAATTCATCATGTGAGTGTGATGAACGAATCCTCACAGCACTCTCAGACGTACTTAGTCGTAATTCTTGTCAATGTTTACACTCAAAGTAATGATGATAGGTGAAATTTTTCTAATCTTAGTTTCAACTTTTGAGACTGTGAATACAAACATTCTACAAAACAATTAAATATTACTTTGAGATATGATAATATTTATCAGAAAAACCATTGAATTCAATCATTTGAAAGAAGTCATCATTATTTTTAGTCTAGATCATTTGGATAATGATAAGCTTTTGCTCAAATGACAATAATGTTCCAAAAGAAATCAATAATCGAATTCATTTATTATAATAGTTATTTACTGCTTTGTTTTAAAAATGCTTACACTTCTTTGACAAAATTCTTATGAAATTTTTTCAATGTGACACTTTTTAGTTAAGATTATTTTGACTGAGCTCATGATCAAATTATATTAGCTCAGTTGCAAATGGAATAATATAAATATTATTCAGTAGTATCAATCGTTTTTTTATAA